ATCTTTTACATACGAAGACGCCATTAAGAGATACATAATCAATTTGGATAAGAATGCACTCTTTATGGATATCAATTTGGATATGAAGAGACTAATTTAAAAATTCATAATGAGTTTGAAAAGGTTATTTAAAAAAGCCAACATTGATTATATAGAAATATGAATATTCACATTTTTCATAAATGAAAAGAAGTATAAATTTTCAGAGAACATAAAGTTGTAAGTGTAAATATTCACACTTAAATTCGCAACACAAAAACTGTAAGTATAAAAACTTCACATCTTTAAAAACTAATGCATCTTCAAATCATTCAATCAAAAATATGAACATTCATACTTTTCATAAACAAAAATGTGTAAATTTTTGGGAGACATAAAGTTGAAAATTTCCCTTCAATAAAAGTATAAATTTTCGCACCTTTTTTACATTGAAAAAAAAAAATCCAATAGAAAGTGCAAAAGTTGTAATTATGAATAATCATACTTAAAATACTATAAACTTTCAGAAAGTGTAAAAGTTGTTAGTGTGAATATTTATATTCATATTTAAAATTGTAACACAAAAATTGTAAGTGTAAAATTTCACATTTTCGATTAATAATCTTATTAAAACACACTATGACCTTTTTAATCATTAAATAAAAATTGTGAATATTCATAAATTTTCAAACTAAAATCACAAAAACTCATCCAATAAAATACTGTGAATATTCAGTCTTTTTTATTTTGCAAACACAAAAATCATTTGATAAAAGATTATGAACTTTCACACATTCTAAACTGTGAAAATACAAATTTCATCTAAAAAAAATATTCAGGAAAAATTGGGAAGGAACGAGTGGGCGGCCGTCCCAGCAGCCCCCCAAAACAATGTCGTTTTGGGGTTTTTTTGATTTTTTTTTTGATTTTTTCTTTCTTTTTGGGGGTTTTTTTGATTTTTTCTTTCTTCTTCCTCGTTCGAACAGAACCAGAGGGGAGGGGAGGGGAGGGGAAGAAGAGAGAGAGGAAGGGAGAAGAAGAGGGAGCCGCCGGTGGGCCGGACTGGAGGGGGCCATAATCACCGGGGGAGGAGGAGGAGGAGGCAGAGGCGGGCCGGAGGCGGAGGCGACGGCGGTGCAGCTGCTACGACGAGCTGGATCGGGCGACGATCGGACGGCTGGCGAGCTCGACGAAAAGACTGGGATGATCAATCAGAAGTTGGGATTATCAATTGAGCGCTCTAGGCAAGTCCCTAAGGGGGGGGAATCCGGATCCTCGGCCGCCCTTTTCGGCGGCCGTTCCCAGCAGCCCCCCAAAACGACGTCGTTTTGGGGGCTGCTTGGAACGGCCGCCGAGAAGGGCGGCCGAGGATCCGGATTCGTTGTGAAAGACCCTATTTGGGAAGGGTTTTTTAGGTTAAAATTGTCAGTAAAGATAAAATAAGTTAAAATAATTAATAAAATAAAATATATTTGATTCATAATTATTTTATTTTATTTTTTACAATCATCAATTCAACTATAAAAAAAAAAACAACTATCCTTTCAAATACAATTTTTTTAACTAAGTTAAAATAGTCAAAAAAATTTTAAAAACAAAACTAACAAAAATAGCAAACTTTTCAAACAAGACCATAAATTGGTAGATCTGGGCTGAGTATTCCAACTTCTCAAAAAAAAAAAAAAATGTTTGGTTTGAGTGTTTTGGATTAAGTTTTTTGAAAATTGTGTTTTTGAATTTTTGTGTTTTTTTCTTTTTAGCGAATATTTTTTAAGTTTTAAACATTTTTTTTTTTTACTTTTTTTATATGCACCTTACTTAGATGAATCTAAAAAGTAAAATTTATAAAAAAAAATACTTTAAAAAATTAATAAATACATAAAATTTAAAAAATGTACTGAATGCTAGTAATTCTTTTTATATATATTTTTGGTATTTAGTGAATTTTTAAAAGTTTTTTTTTTTCACAAATTTTTTACTTTTTAGGTATATTTATGTTAGGTATGTCTTAAAATTTAAAAAATTGCTTAAAATATTTAAAAAATAGTAAAAACAAAAAAATATGAAAAACAAGAAAGTAAAATATTTTGAAAAGTATTTTTGAAAAACTCTAACAAGCAAAGTGAATCACTAGTAGTGAATTAAAGGTGGGATATAAAAGTTTTTTTATTTTTATGCAATGAATGAGTGTTGGAGTCTTAGGAGTTGTTTGGAATGATGTAAATAAATATATTTTTTAATTTTTTACTAAAATATATGTAAAAAAATAAAAAGGTAATGTGATCTAAATAAATACACTTATCTAAAGAAATATATTTATTTAATTTATGTCAAACAATGCTTTAGTACTACAGGTAGCAATTTTGCAAACGAGGCTCCGTTTGGTAAGGAGTTTTGAGGTTATTTTAGCTATAAAAAACAAAATAGGCTATTTTAGTTACAACAAAAAAAATATCGCATCCAACCCATAATCATTACATTATTCTCTCACAAAAAAAGTTAAAAAAACCAAAAAATCCTTCCCAAACCAAACTTTTTAACCTAGGCTAAAATAGCCAAAAAAGTCGAAAAGTCAAAAAGCCAACCCACTTCCCAAACGACACCGTTTGGCAAGGAGGTTTGAGGCTATTTTAGCCACAACAAATAAAACATCACATCCAACCCATAATCATTACACTTTTCTCTAACAAAAAAAGTCAAAAAAATCAAAAAGTCCTTCACACACCAGGCTTTTTAGCCCAGGCTAAAATAACTAAAAAAGCCAAAAAGCCAAAAAGCCAACCCACTTCCCAAACGACACCCTCCGTTTGGAAAGAAAGTTTGAGGTTATTTTAGCCACAAAAGACAAAATAGATTATTTTAGTCACAACAGACAAAACGTCACATCCAACCCATAATCATTACACTCTTCTCTTATAAAAAAAGTCAAAAAATTCAAAAAGCCAAAAAGCCTTTTCCAAATCAAGCTTTTTAGCCCAGGCTAAAATAGCTAAAAAATTAAAAAGTCAACCCACTTCTCAAACGCAGGCTGTATTTTCCTAACGATGTACCAAAAAAAAAAGAAAAGGACTGTATTTTCCTAATATATTGCCTTTATTTATTTACTTCTATAAAAGGGTCACCAAAAACAGCGGCAAGAAAGTAATGGAATAGTATAAAATTCAAAAAAAAGATTTTTTAGAATATAATTCTAAATAAATAGAACTTATTACAAGTATTTATATAACATTTATCACTAAACAAGGCTCCAAAATGGGACTTTTCACTAATTTATCCTTAAATTTTATTTATAAATAAAAAATAAATTACAAGTAAAGGAAAAAGAATGAAATTAAGAAATTTATTTTTATTGATTTAGTTGGATTAAGATAATAAAAAAAAAGATAATTGCAAAAAATATTTTTTTATTTATCATTCATAAAAATAAATAGGCATAAGTGCACCTTTTCCTTGACACCTTGCTAATCCTTGTTTGGCAAAGGTTTTTTTTTTTTTATTAAAATTTATAAAAAGATAAAATAAGCTAAAATAATCAACCAGACAAAATGTCACATCAAACCTGTAATCATTTTATTTTTTTCTCTAAAAAATATTATATCTAATTACAAAAAAAATTAACTATCTTCGTAAACATAAATATTTTAATATATTAAAATAATCAAAAATTAAAATAACCAACTTGTCAAACGAGGCATAGATAAGTTGGTTCGAGTCAAACAATAAGCATATATGACATTTATTTTATTTTGACATCTAATCAATTCAATATTGTCTCGGCTCTTTAAATCATCTAAAAAAAATTACGAAAAATATTTGCATTAACCTCACATCAAGTATTTGAAGAGAGTTTGAAAAAATTTATTTCATTTCTCATTAAAATAAACCACAAGACACATGAAGCTTCTGTTTCAGAAGTGGGTTAGTTTTTTAGTTTTTTGACTTTTTTGACTAATGAGCCTGGGCTCAAAATCTTGGTTTGGGAAGGGCTTTTGGGTTTTTGGGTTTTTTGATTTTTTTTGTGAGAGAAGAGTGTAATGATTATAGGATTGGATGTGATGTTTTGTCTGTTGTGGCTCATGAGCCTATTCTGTCTTTTATGGCTCATTGAGCCAAAAAAACCCAATGAGCCTTTGCCAAACCAGAAATATACATACAAACTTTTCACAAAATAGCCAGTTTAGTTACTTGATTAATATTATTGTAGACGTGTTAAAATGTTGTTAATGCCTTTTTAATATCTAATGTGAGGCTAAAGTAATCATATTTTTATATATTTTCTTGAGGTGAGTTAGAGAAAGAACTATATTGAATTATGTGTAAAATTTAAGAATATAATTAAGATCAAAACCTAAGAGTTTGGCCTGATAGATAAGGCCTGGGACTTGGTGACTTGTTCCTTCAAAAATCTCAAGTTCGACTTTTCTCACTAACAAAACTCTTGAGGCAACAAACTGCAAGAAATAAAACTATTTTCAAAAATCTTGTTCGGACGGTAGGGACTTAGGTTAGTTCAATTTACCTTATGTATCAACAAAATAAAAAAATATGAAGGACTAAAATAAAATAAGCCTTACATTTTAAAAATCATTTTTGTAAGTATCATTTAATTTTCTGTGATGTGTATAAGGCAATTGAGGTCTTGTTTGAGAATTAGTTTTTCAATATTTTTTTTTTGTTGCTTTTTTACAAGGTGGAAAAAAGTTATTGCAATTGAAAATTATTGAGATATTTACTTCTTTTTTTTTTAAGTAACATTGTAAATTTATTTTAATGATTTTTTGTTTGAAATTTTAATAAAAAAATCAAATAAGCAAAGGGGACGGAGAGTTAGGTGGTGTTTGGAGAGTAGTGAAAATAGTAAAAACAATAAAAAAAATCATCTAATTCTTTCTATTTTTTTCACATTTTTTTTTTATAAAAAATAAAAAAATTATTAAAAATATTAATTTCCAAACACCTCTTAATTTAAAAAATAAAATAAATTATTTTGCCACACGAGAGAGAGAGAGCACCAGCAAAAGAAAATCCCAACTTTCTTGTTTGAACCCATTACGAAACTTCTACTATAAGCCAAGCGGATTCTAAGCCAAAACCCTTCCCCACCCCAATTTAAACTCCACATTATACATATCCATCCATCTTCTTTTGTTTTTCCCTTTTATATTATTCACAAATTCTACAATCATCGAAAAGAGTAAAAAAATTAGGGTTTTGATCTCACAATACCAGTCCCCAACTTCCTCCAAATGACTACCCTCTCACACATCGACAACATTGCTTCGATTACCGCCGGAAAGTTCAAACCGGACAAATCTCCACCGTACATTAATCGTCTCCGGTACCACTCCTCTCTCCCAAAGCTCACCCTCTGGTCCTTCCTCTTCCTGGCCTTCATCTTCCTCTTCTTCTTCTTCTCTCCGCCGTCATCGCCGCCGCCAACCCCCTCCGCCGCCACTCGCCACACCGTCCGCAACATTTCCTGGGGCGGCGCGGTCTGGGAGCGGCGCGTTCGCTCCTCGGCTCGCGTTCGCTCCCGGGCTGGCCTCTCCGTTCTTGTCACTGGCGCGGCTGGCTTCGTCGGCTCGCACGTCTCCATCGCGCTCAAGCGGCGCGGCGATGGAGTTCTAGGGCTTGACAATTTCAACTCTTATTACGATACTGGCCTCAAGATGTCCCGCAAAGTGTTGCTTGATCGAGTCGGAGTGTTCGTTGTCGATGGCGACATTAACGATGCAGATCTTCTTCGCAAGCTCTTCGATGTCGTGCCTTTTACTCACGTAATGCATCTCGCAGCTCAGGCTGGTGTCAGATACGCAATGCAAAACCCTAGTTCGTATATTCGCAGCAACGTTGCTGGGTTTGTGAATCTTCTTGAAGTTTGTAAATCTGTGAATCCACAACCTTCGATTGTATGGGCTTCTTCGAGTTCGGTTTATGGACTCAATTCGAAAGTACCCTTTTCTGAAAAAGACCGCACGGACCGCCCTGCGAGTCTCTACGCCGCCACCAAGAAGGCAGGCGAAGCAATTGCTCATACTTATAATCATATTCATGGTTTATCGCTTACTGGGTTGAGGTTTTTCACTGTTTACGGGCCTTGGGGTAGGCCCGATATGGCGTATTTCTTCTTCACAAGAGATATTCTCAAAGGGAAGCAAATTACTATATTTGAAGGTCCTGATCACACTACTGTTGCAAGAGATTTCACCTACATTGATGACATAGTTAGGGGTTGTTTGTCAGCTTTGGATACTGCGAAAAAGAGTACCGGTAGTGGTGGGAAGAAGAAAGGTGCGGCACAATTCCGGATTTTCAATTTGGGGAACACTTCGCCCATCCCCGTGGGGAAGCTTGTGAGTATATTGGAGAAGCTTTTGAAGGTGAAAGCTAAAAAAAAGGTGTTGCCTTTGCCGAGCAATGGAGATGTGCAATTCACACATGCGAATATAAGCTTGGCTCGTAAGGAGCTTGGGTATAAGCCTAGCATTGATTTGGAGACAGGTTTGAAGAAGTTTGTTAAGTGGTATCTCACTTACTATGATCCTAAGAAGAAGAATGCTTGGTGAATCTGATTTATCAGGTTCTGCAACAATCTTTTGAATTCTGTTTCGTTTTGGTTGATCTTGATGTTGCCAATTTCAGTGATCAATGCCAATTTCAAGTTCTCTTCTTCCCCATGAAACAGTAGTACATGGAGGACTTATGGGTAGTGTTGTTGATTGCCCTGCATTCGTTTTTTGCAGGGCATTCCTCTGTACGAACTCAGTAGGAGAAGCCCTTCATTGCTTTACTGCATATTGTTTTGTTAAGGGTCTCATTTGTAGCTTAGGAATTGTACAGGCCATGACTGATAGATGGCAAACATGTCTGATTGGTGCACACTTTTCATTATCTTTAGGGGATCTAAATAAAGTATCATTTGCTATATTCGGCCTTTCATACTATCCCATCCTATTGAGTTTACTTAAATCCCAATTTTCTACTTAATTGATCTAATAAGGTGGTATGGTGGTGTAAAAGGCTTACGTAGTTGCTTTGAGGTAAATGGTTCTTATGCAATTTGAATCCAATCCATTATTGTTTATATAGCTGTTATATTCAGTGGGTCAATCTTTTTTTTCTGTTTGATGAGATGCTCATGATCGAAAAGATTAGTGTTTTTGATCTTTCATTTGCACTGTTCTCTGGCACTTGGAGGCCATTGTTCATCTATGAATGTTTTACTTGGAAACCTACTGATGTATTGAAAATATTTATTTTTTCAGTTTTCATCCTGGTACTAATCAATTGAGCTGTTTTACTATAAGTGACTAAGTTGGCACAATGGCTGTATATTCTGTTATGTTTGTGTAATTTATATTCTTTTATCTGTATATATGATATGATTTTACTTATAATTGTTAATGCTCTGCCTATTGGTGAAATCCATATAATGGAGCAGATGTGTATTGCTTGGTTATTGTCCTTCTGAACAGTGGCTGCTAAACTTGTTAGTTTCCTTGTACCTTAGGAATTAGTTGAATCATATCTTACTACTTTGGTTAGGGAGGACGTGCAATATGTATTTTTGTCTCTTCTGGATACTAGCAATGTTTCTTACCATTTCTATGGTTCTTTCTTAAGTTGGTTGGAGGAAGAACTCTAAGATTTTGTAAAGTGCTATTCTTTTGAAAGGCACACTTATATTGTCTGTATTTGAGAGGGCCTATTTGACTCTTTCACCACATTGGAGCGCATACAATATGCAGCCTCTTGGTGACATTTTGTTTAAGAGGAAAATGCAGATGGGTTCCTCTTGGAAATATCTACAGGCAAATTTTTTCTTTTCTGTCACTTAGCTTTTTGACCTTTGGTTTTTTTCACTAGATAACTAGTTCATGTAAGCTTTGGTGGCTCCACAAGGTGTAGTTTGGGTTCTTGTGTTGCTGTGTATTAAAAAATAAAAATAAAAACTTACATTTTGTGGTTCTATTACACGACTAATTTGTTAGGGAAAGGCAGTACATATTTGGAATACCCCTCAAGGCATGATAGTTTATTGATAAGGCTACCAGAATGCTTGAGGATTTTTTTATTTTTTATTTTTTATTTTTGCTAGGTAATGTAATGGGAACGACAAGAACTTGCCATCTTTTTTGGTGCTTTACAGAGCAATGTTGAAGGGAACAAATAAGTGGGTCGACATTCCTTAAAATCTGGATTTTGATGTTATTCCCTTCTTGAAGCAAATTACAAGATATTATGGTGTTGTATGTTATATTCATTATTCTAATTTTTGAAAGATTTTTAGTGTTTTCTTTGTTCTGTTTCTTTGATTTGGTGACAACCAATAGTGATAGGTTATGCTTAAAGAGAGAATATTTTTGGTTTTATATATATTGATAAGCATATATATATAAACAATTCTTTATAGTTTTTTGCACCTTCCTATTATGTAGTGGTTAACGTTGGTGAAGTTTGCTATGTAGACAATGTTGATCGGAAATGAGAGTTCAGGGACATTTCTAGGTAGCCTTTCAAGACTTGCAGATAAGTCGTAAGTGTGCATTGTTGATTACCATTGCTCCCCCTGCATGAAAGGGGTGCGGGATGCTGTATCTAGTCTGAATTTTTTTATTTGTTTACTATATTCCTGTTGATAGTTTCATAATTCACACCAGCTAACGCAGATCATCACAAAAATCATGTTTTACCAACACCGTACATTCCAGAGATTTATATGGTTTCTCTGACGGGAGCTTGACACTTAAAACCATTTATCATAACTTAATACTTCATTTGCTAAAGAAAGTTAAAATATGGTTGCAATACATTTGAAATTTAGATGATATGGTCGACTGAAAATGAGCTAGTCTACTAAAATTCAATCGATTGTTAATGAGGAACAAACTGTCATGGAACCCCAAAAACATGTCCCTTTTAACTGCTTATCAAAATTAATGATTTGTAAGAAACTGATGGAACAAAGAGATGAAGTTTGAAGCATGCCTTATAATTTTGTGATGTAGAGAGGCAGAGTACAGGAGTATTTTTTCAGTGCTTTTTCTTTGTTATCTAGGATTAGAATATCCTGCTTAAAATAATGTTCCTTGTTTAGATTTAATTGACAGTAATCTTAGGAATTTGTTATCTTGCAATTTGGCTTCTGAATATCAGGTATATTCTCTAGTTACCAACATTATTAGTTGCCTTCTAGATATGGTACCATAACCGTCGTTGTAATTTTCATAGTTCTGCCTTTCACATTCATTTTAACCATATTGCAGCATATTGTTTGGACTGTTTGTCTCTCCATGGGCCATAGAGGTGTATGTGTATCTTTGTGTGTGTGTTCTGCTAGATAGGGATAAGGTGGAGTTTTATTTTTGCAGGTACATGTGTCCATGTCTCCAATGTGGCACACCAAGTCATTGCCATGTGTTATCTCCATATATTGGGATTCGTGTCTCAGACTTGTGTGATCCTAGGTACTACCAAGCCAACAAGATCAGGGGTTGTGTACTGTTTGCTATGTTCTGAGTTATGATGAGCGAGTTCTGTTTAATAAATTCTGTAAATAAAGTGATGGATATGAGCACAATTGAAATTCCTGAGAGTTATACATTTGTGTATTGATAAGATCATTCATTATTTCTTGAAGCTCTGTCTCTCTTGGATGAACCTTGTAGCCAAGAGAATCCATGAGAACAAAAATAGCAGAGCATAAAGTTGTGTATTACTATCTTTTTTTGCATGGTACAAGTAGTACATAAAATTTGGTTTGTTAATTTGTTTCATTTCAGCAAGATTGTATGCCCAATCTTGGTTTGAGATATATGTGAAGAAGGTGATCTTTTTCGGTCTATACATTTTTAAAACAAAATTATCTTGTACATATTTTCAGTTGCTGATGTTTATGGCTTTCAAATTAACTCTGGATCTGTTCCAGTGATTGTAATAGAAAACTTTATTCTCTTGTGGAATGGAATGTTATTAGATGTCATCAAAGATGTAACTCAATAAGTTAAGGGCCCGTTGGGGTTAAGTAGATGGGAGGGGATTAGGATGATGGAGGTGTTATTTAGTGTTGTGTTTATTTATAGAGTTGGGGAGGAGATTAGGATGATGGAGGTGATATAGATGGAGGTTGGGGGGGCGGATTGAGAGGAGGTTGGGGAGATGGTATTAGAAAAATAGTGAAGGGATTAGAATTTTTTTTTATTTTTTTTATATTGAGATTTTTTTTTAAATATTAATGTTTAATTTTTTATATTTTTTTATTTATTTTATTATTTTATATAAAAATAATTTAACAATTGTTACACTAACAACTATCATCAAAATAAATATAATTTTATTTAATCTCCTCGCTATAAATCTTTTCTATTCTATTTCTGAAAACAAACGGGACTAAGAGACAATTCCGTATCTCTAAATTTTGTTGTTTCACCATCAATTTCTATGCTTACTTGATTGTTTGTTTCATCCGAGACAAGTTGGCAAGGCATGATGAATCTTTTTAATGAAACTTAAAATGTTGGAAATTAGTTTCTTGGTCATCCATAAGATTCTCAGTCCAGTTGCAAGGTCTTACAATGCCGGATGTGTGTGTCCCCTCACGATGTTTTTGCACATTCCGTTGAATGGTTAGATTATCAAGATTTCGTTGGTTTGAAATTTTTGTTTCCACGAGGCCATTCACTTTGCTTGGTTATAGTTTTCTAAAAATACTTTTCAGATAATTTTCCCTTTATTTTTTTGTTTTTCATATTTTTTTATTTTTATTGAATTTTTTTAATATTTTAAGAATTTTTTTTTAATTTTTAGACATACTTAACATAAATATACTTAAAAAGTAAAAAATTTGTAAAAAAAATCTTTTAAAAATTCACTAAATATCAAAAATATAAAAAAAAATGATAATTCAATACATTTTTTGTATTTTTATGTATTTATTAATTTTTTAAAATATTTTTTTTATAAATTTTTTACTTTTTAGATACATGTAAGTAAGATGCATTTAAAAAAATAAAAAAAATATTTATTAAAGACAAAAAAACACGAAAATTAAAAAAAAAAAATCTAAAAAACTCAAACAAAATATACTGATTATTTTTCTTGGTAGTCATTGGTGAACAAATGTGGTGGGTAAAAATCTAACATTGTTCCTAGGACAAAATTAAACCAAAAAAAAGAAGATTCAGAGTTTTCACCATTCATGCTGATGATTGTGGGCGAGGACATGGTCCTGCCGGGCCCCAGAATCTGTCCTTCTCCACGATATTTTTTAAATGCACTATTCTTTTTTTTTGAACGACTTTTAAATGCACTATTCACACCCTCCTGCTTTTTACACCTACCCCCAAATTTTATTTTTCCTTTTATGTCCATTTTAATCTTAAAATTACCTCTATATTTGACTTCTTTGGCTCTTCCCTCTTTGCATTTGCACCCGCCCACTTCTCTCCCATCGTTGCCGCAACATCACTACTCACAGCCCCTCTTTTTGCTCTCCTGCCATCAGCGATCAAGGTTAGGGTTAGGTTGCCACGACATCACTACTCACAGCCCCTCTCTTCGCTCTCCGGCCACTAGTGATTAAGGAATTAAGGTTAAGGTTAAGGTTAAGATTAGGGTTAGGTTAAGTCTTGAATGTTGATTAAGGATTAAGGTTAGGATTAGGTTAAGTCTTGATAGTAAAGAAGACAAGGGTATTTAGTATTATTTGAAAATTGATAGTGCAAATTTAAAAAAACAATAAAAATAAAATAAAATAAAATTCAAATTAGGCGTGGAAAAGTATGAGCACAATTGTTGTAATTCAGTATAAATATATATATATATATATTTTTTTTTATGACTAGATATTCGAGCTGGTTTACGTATACTTCAATTAATTTAGGGAGTCATGCAAAGCTCTATCTTCATGTAGATCTAGCAAATCTTAGGCAAAGCCCGTAAG